TGAACCTAAGGAGTGACTTGGCATCCATGACCTGTACATCATTAAACTGCTACCAACATAATAATTTTATTGATACATCTGGTAAGGATGGGCATAAAATAATTCAAGCCATTTTGTGCTTGGGTAAGTCATGGTCAGGCACACATGATATCATCCCAAGGATGTGATCAACATGCACTTGGAATTTTACACTATGACACGATAAAACATTGCTCAATGCCAATGAGTTGAAATTATTATGCAGACATACAGCACAGTACATATTGACCCTCCAAGGGTTATTTATGCCAATGATTCTGTCACAGGTGCCTAATGAAAATTTACCTTCTGGATCCAGTTGACATGACTGTCACATCATGAAAAACTTGGGCTGAGCCTGTGGTGACAGAAATATGCTGTCATGAAAAATTTAGATGAAGGCTAGGGTGATGGGAATGACTCGTCATGAGTACACAGAGCTCTTAAAAGATTAGCCACAGTGTGCATTTAGAAAGAGGCTCTTGCATTATTTCCACTGATAAGCAAGGGTGGAATATAAGATCCATGAGCCATGGCTTGAAAAGCATTGGTTTTGGGGAGGATGGTATTTCCAAGCTCAGAGTCCTCTTCCTGGCCACTGTGACCAACAAAGCAGGGTGTGTTACAGGAAAATTATAAATATGAAAATGTTTAAAAATTACAGATAACAAAATGTTACTTCTTGTTATTGATATTGCAAAGTTGTGGACTACATAAAGAGATGATAAGTAGTCTGTGCAAGGAAAGTTATCATCTTGATACAGTATATCAAATGACAATCATAGACCATGAAAAATGATTAAAAAAACTTATCCAGAAAAAAGACAACATTGCAAAGGAAAGAAAAGGAGTCTTAATATGACACATGCGTATTTGTGTGGGTCCGTCTACAAGCTACACAACTGGGAGAGTCTCAAGTCAATTAACCTATGGTAACGGGGCCAGATTTTTTGTTATTTCATATTTAGCAACAGTCTAGACTTTGTGGCTAGGCCTAAGTTGTGTACAGCCGCCCCACCCGCTGTGAGTCATGACATGTTTACACGTCATAGGTTGTTACGATATGACGGTTAAAGCTGTACCCATCATAGAGAGGTTAAGCCTAATGTCCAGATTTTATACCATGTATTCACTGCAAGGCACCTGGATCCAACAGTTTAATTTTCATCGGTAACATATATCTATTGACCTGCCCCCTATCAGTGACATTCTAGCCTACTCACAACATGACCTACCAATGTCATACCGAGCCATGCACCAGGGGCCTCACATCATGTCACTGAGTGAGAAACTAGAAGCACAGAACACAAACATTTAGCCCATTTTTTATGCATCCTAGGTCTATTTAAAATGAAGGGCCACATGTGACATAAGTCCCAGTACATTTAGCAACTTGCAGGAATACAAAATCATACCTGAAAATAGTTGCTATAGCTAGCACACTCATACAGTCTGCAAAACACAACACAATAAACAAACATCAATTAAGAGTGATTCAGTACTATATATATAAAAAAAGAATTCAAAACATAAGCTCTTTCCACTTCCCAAAAATATGTAATCATGAAAGTATAAAATCTCATCCTCCTCTTCTGCCACTGTAACTTAGCCAATACCAATGTTTTCCTTTTATTCCCATAACATTATTTCATAATCTTGAAAAATCATTTTAAAAAATCAAACTATGTATACATTCCCTTTTTTATTGGCAATTACATATGAAATGAGATTTAAATATTTAATAAATAAAAAAGTTAAAAGACAAAATAGGTAATAAAATCTATTATCTAAATAATGAGTAATTACATGCATCAACAGCATATAAAGCAGTTTTCAAAATAAGAAACTTAGCAAACCTAAACTAACAAAAATAAAGCAACTAAAAACCCTTGAAAGACTGGCTTTGCAGATAACAAAAACTATAACTAAATTATACATAAATAACAAACAAAAACTATTCCAATACAATTAAAATGTTTAACCAATCTTGTGCAAACCACAGCCAAGAATAACTCTCTGTGATATATCTTGTCTATTCTGATACTTTTAAAAACATGTTTCAAAAGATTTGGTGTGAGAAAACATCATGTTCCTAATCTACTTAAATAAATTAAAGACATATGCCTTTCCAAAAAAGATTGCTAATTCTGAAAGCGTCTGGTCTTGTCGTCCATCAAAACTTCACATCTTCTTTGCCAAATTAGCTGACAAATCAGGGGCACTCGCAGAATATGTGAAGGAATAAAGCAAAAATCCCCAGGGAGTGAAAGATGAGTAATGAGTGATGCTTGAGATTCATCATGTGGGAAGAGTTTGAAGGAAAAGCTGTGTTAGCCCTCTGAGTACAGAATTCTGAGTGATACTGGGGACATCACACTCAAGTATTTGTAGGTCACAGACCTACTAATATCTATAACATGAAAGTACTTTGTTAATATATATATATCTATATAACAGAACTAAGGTAGAATAAAACTAAATAAGATTAAAGTGAGTCTAATTAGTCCTTCCATGGATAATCATAATGGAAGGAAAAGCAAGTAAAAGAGACAAAGGAGAAAAGAACAAGTGATCAAGCTATTACAACTACTACTAGCACACGCACTCTGCAACTTCAATGGGAAGGTGCATGTTGCTAATGAAAAGACCACCCTCATCAATTAAAAGTTTTACATGGTGCCAGAAGGCATGTGACTGTACCCCATTTGAGTGTGTAGGTGCATATGTTAACATTTGTGTATGTATAACTCTACATCAGTAACATATAACATATGAAAATATCTTGTATGCCATATATTTCAAGTCGAAGCTTGCATTTCACAAATGCAAAAAACTATTACTAATGAGCTAGTATAAAACTCCTTTCCTTTCTGAATCACTGGATATATGAAATATCTTGTCATCAGGATATTTTCCTTTTCTCAATACAGTATGCATAAAGATATAAGTTAATTACCTCAGAGTAGTAGATAAGGATAACATAAGAACAAAGCTTTTAATCAATAACAAATTCCTTCTCAACAACTATGTTTGGCTGCAGGGACTAGAGGATATTTTCATTCCAGGGAATTATTTCAAAGTTGCAACCAAAAAAGGAACATTCATAATATCACAATCCAAAATGATTCCTGGTAAAAGTTAAACATACATACGTAAATGTGACCTAATCAACAAGTTGAGACCATTTGTTGAGTTAACAGGTAAAAAATAAATAAGTATACAAAAATCTCTGCAAATTATTTTATCATCCCCATTTCTCGCATATTGTCTGTAAGTACTTTAATGTTGTCATTCTGATGCTTCTCCAACTTCAGTGCTCTTGAGGGGTTTTTCGCAGTGCGTGTGTGCCAGACATATATTTTTGTGCAGCCATCAGCCTTCACTTCAATATCTTTGATGCTTAAACCTAGTGACTTCAAGAAGCCATCTTCTTCATGCCCAGCTATGTACGGCATTGTCACTTTTTTCTGGAATGGTGTGGGAATACTAACATCAACATAACACAGCATCACTATATAAAATTACAGAAATGTTACTACAATTGACTTGATGACACAATCCCTTAAAACAGCAATCTGTTAATAAAATTTTGAGCCAATGTCTAATCTGACTTCATTGCAGCAAATAATTTCATCTTACCTGCTTCTTCAAGAAGCCAACATTTACAGCAAATCCTGCCATGTCTACTTGGAACTTCCTCCCTGCTGGCCAGCCATCGTAGAAGGCAACAACCTTACCCTGAAAATATTTGTCACTGATTGAAAGAGAGAGGCATAAAAGCCACATTAATCCATTGGATCCGGGTAACATGACCATCAAATAATGAAAATAATTTGCCTGAGGACTGAGTGAAGGGAATATGTTGTCATGAGAACTTTGGCTGATGGCCAGGGTGATGGGAATGACCCACTACATGTGCATAAAATGTTTGGAGGAAAATTACACAGTGGGAATTTAGGACAGGGCTCTGGCATTATTTCTAATGGTAATCAAAAGTCGATTGTAATATCCATGAGCCACGGCTGTAAGAGCACCAGTTCCAGGGAGAACACTATTTACATGCTCACAGTCTTATTCCTGCACACTGTGACCAACAGCATAGGATGTATTCCAAGAAATTGAATAGCATGAAAAAAAAAACACATATAGCAAAATGTTACTTATTATAATTGTTGCATGGAGTTGTAAACTATCTAGAGAGATGGTATGAAGTCTGTGCAAGGAAAACGGTCTATTACCATCTTGATATTGCATATCAAATGACAAATACTGAACTTGGTAATGCCAAAAAAAAAAAAAAAAAAAAAAAAAAAAAAAAAAAAAAAAAAAAAAAATTGCAGAAAAAGCATAATATTCCAAAGTGGAGGGAAGGAGTCTTGACACCAAACACAAGCACTTACAAGCCATACACCTAGTCACCACTCAAGTAAACCTTATGCCAGATTTGGGCCATGTGCAGGCAGAATGGCAACCATATAGAACAGGTTAAAAGTTTGTAGGCCCCTGGGATAAAAATACTGAACAGCTAACTAACACAGATAGAAAGAGAAAGAGAGAGAGAGAGAGACAGAGGCAGAAGCATTGACAGGGGCAGAAGCAGACACAGGGACTGAAGCAGAGACAGAGTTAGAAACAGAGACAGAGACAGAGACAGATGCAGAGACAAAGACAGAGACAAAAGCAGAAGCGGAGACAGAGGCAGAGACAGAAGCAGAGACAAAGGCAGTTGCAGAGACAGACACAGTGACAGAGACAGAGACAGAAGCAGAAGCAGAGACAGGCAGAAGCAGAGACTGAGACAGAAGCAGAGACAGACAGAGACAGAGGCAGAAGCAGAGACAGAGACAAAGACAGAAGCAGAGACAGACACAGTGGCAGAGACAGAGACAGAGCAGAGCAGAGACAGAGGCAGAAGCAGAAGCAGAAGCAGAGACAGAGGCAGAAGCAGAGACAGAGGCAGAGGCAGAGCAGAAGAAGACAGAGACAGAGACAGAAGCAGAGACAGAGGCAGAGACAGAGACAGAAGCAGAAGCAGAGACAGAGGCAGAGACAGACACAGACACAGACGCATAGACAAAGGCAGTTGCAGAGACAGACACTGTGGCAGAGACAGAGACAGAAGCAGTGGCAGCAGCAGAGACAGGCAGAGACACAGACAGAAGCATAGACAAAGGCAGTTGCAGAGACAGAGACAGAGACAGAAGCAGTGGCAGCAGCAGAGACAGGCAGAGACACAGACAGAAGCAGAGACAGAGACAGAAGCTGTAGCAACAGCAGAGACACAGACAGAACAGAACAAAAACAAATATTCATTATGATGCCTAACTAACAGCAGTATGATATGTCCTGTCTCTTCAGTCTGTAAATTCATGCCTCAAACACCGTGAACCTGCAAATATTCTCCAATACACTTACATCCTTAACAATGGGTGAGCTCACTGTGTAATCTCCTATAAGCCCCACTGGCCACATGGAAACGGTTTCTGTTGGCCTCATCTCCTCAAAGAGCCGAACATCTATTGCGTTGTCATCATCTAAGAAGAACAGGACTCCTCTGTCAGACCCATGTTCTTGCACCCACTCCAGAGCAGCCCTGCGGTTAGAGACGCCTCTCGGGACATACCTCTCCTTCCGGTATACTTCTGGCATGGGGCTTGCCAGGTGTGTATAAGAGAGACCTGTGTATATATAGGTATATATGGATATTTTCTTATCTTCTGATACCTTGAGAGAAAAATTCTTAGAATTAGAAGAAAGGCCTCCACTCTCCTTCTCAATCCCAGATATTAACTGTCTTCAAAACTCCTTACTCAACATTAGTGAAGATTGTAACTAAAAAACAAGGTGAAAACTCAGTTTGTGCTGCTCATTTAAGAAAAAAATGAGTTAATGAATGGCAACAACACATACCATGTTTGCTTTAAAAAACCTAGTCATAGAACTTACTTTCAAGGATACCTGTTAGGCCTTAACATGATTACCAAATGAAGAATTAGACTAACAAAATTTAAAAGATAATCATTTCATAGCAAAGGTGGGTTCCATACATACATGTAAAAGCAATGTAAAGTATAATCAAAATGTACTTTTACCATCAAAATTTACAAGTAGAGGCATTTCCATGCTATTCTTCCACTTTCTATCAAAAAAACTGATAGCATGAATCCAATTTAGACTTAACCCCTTTAATCCGAGTGGTGTGACCATTATGTCAAGAAAAAATTTGGCTTGAGGGGCAGGTGATGTGAACATGCTGCAATGAGAAAAAATTACTGCGGGCCGGGTGACGTGAACTTAGATTAGACTCATTTGGCAAATAGAAAGGGGCTTTTCCTTATTCCCATCAAGGAACAAGTGTGGAATGTATGCCATGACTGGAAGAGTGCCAGCTCCAGAGAGGATGTCTTTTCCATGTTCAGCATCTTATTCCTGCCGCTGTGGCAGTATGGGTTATATTAAAGAAAACAGTATCAAAGAAAAAAAAAAAGTAAAAAGAAAAACAAAAATAAGAACATTTTCTTTATTTCTTTATCATTATTGCCATTATCATTATCATTATTATTTACTACACAGAGAGGTGATATGGAGTCTGTGTAAGGAAAACAGTCTATTACCATCTTGATAAAGCAAATCAAAGGACAAATACATACATGAGAAAATGGCAAAGAAGCTAAAAACTTTTATGCAAAATAACATTGTAAAGGAGAGGCATAGTCTTGTCACCACACACGAGTGTCCATGCACACCCAGCTTACACTGCGCACCTGGTAGAGCGGCAGCTTATATAAGCCTAATGCCCATATTTTGCTCCATGTGATTGCATGAAGCAAATGGATTCAAGGAGTTAATAAACTGAGTCAGCTCACTATGCGGCAAAGTTACACACCAAACACAGTCAGCGATCTCCAAGTTGTGTGTACTAAAGAGTAGTTTGCTTGATTGGCTTTGGTTATGGCTGTTCAAAAGCTATAGCATCTCAAAAGTAGGATTAAAGCCTTGTTGGTCTCGATTACTGGAAAATTAGGTATGAAGCAGGCAAACACACACAGAGCGGAGTAAATGTCTGTTCCCTGCACCTCTAGAGTGACTGACTGCACATGCAACCTGGTGCATGGCTCAGTTCAGCACAGGAAAAGCCTGTCACCATAAAGTCATTAATCAAATTGATTATCTAAGGAGACAAGAACAAAGTCTTCTTGAATATTTAGCTCTCACACCATGAGAGTAAACATTCAACAGTATTTTAATTCATTTTGTAATTTATCAAGTGCAAGAAACTTCAATACCTTGAGAGTCAAATACATACCTTGGAATATATAAAGGGATACCATATTCATAATACTTACACTGCTCCCTTAGTTACATGAATGAGTATAATACAACCCTGACTTACAGATGCCCAGACACACAGATATAAAGTTATACATATAACCAGAAAGACAAGAGACACATACATACATACATACAGACATCCAGAGACACCCCCCTCACACACACAAACACATGCATATACACAAACACTTACACAAACATATACACATTGATACAAAAGACACAGAGACAGGTATGCTTTCATACATAAACCTATGAAACACAACCCACTTGCTTACCAAGCCTCTGAAGCAGCCCTGTAATGGGGGCAGTGCAGGTGAGGCTGTCCTCGGCCACAATCCAGTGGATGCGCTTCACCAAAGTCAGCGTCTGACCAAGTCTCGTCAGTTCAGCCACCATTTCTGGACGACGGTATGTTGGAGTGACCACATAGATGATAGGTGCGCTGTTGTTACTTCCCTGCCATTAAATATTATCATTATAAGTATATATAAATATAAACGTACAAATATAAATAGACATAATGATAGATAGAAAAACATAAAACTTGTGCTGATACAACTTATCAGCGAGTGCTCCCTATATTATTCTGTGCTGAAATATAGGCTAGATAATTATTTCTGAAACCATTTTACTTTTGGAATCTTAGTCACCAGAGGTGAGGTTAGTCTTCTGACAGAACTTAAACTTAACCCCTTCAATCCAGACGACATGACCATTATGTCATGAAAATTTTTTAGCTTGAGGAGTAGGTGGCATGAACATGCCATCATGGGAAAATTTTACTGTTGGCCAGGATGATGCGAACTTGCCAATGTAAGCATTTCAACTGAAGGCCGGGATGACAGGAAAGACTCGCCATAAGTGTGCAAAGTTCTTGGAGAGTGATTATTCATTTGGTATTTAGGAAGGGACTTTTGCATTATTTAAGGTGAAAATTATAAAAAATGCTTATGATGAAAAAGACAAAATAATATTGCAAAGGAAGGCATAATCTTGTCACCACACACAAGTGTTCTTTGCACCCTGCCTACACGTCACACACCCAGGAGTGCATTTACTCATGTAAGACTAATGCCTGTATTTTGGGCCACATGGCAGTGAAGCATCTGGATGATCCAATGAGATATCCTTGTAACAGCGAGTGGTACATTTCAAATCTGACCTTAAATCTGTACTCCCACTTCAAATCTGCTGTCTACATTACGCACATACATTACATATATCAGGGAGAATGGGATACTGCCAAGGGATGAACTGTCCTTTCTGGGAATGGTTAATGGTTAAAAGCGAAATAAATGTGCTAGACATCTAAGGTCATACAGCACTATAGGAAGGTAAGGGGGTTGATGAGGGAAAGGGTTATGGTGGTTTAGGTAAGGGAATTAGATCAAGTGAAGGATATTTATGCATCTGAGGAAGAACAGGTTGTTATAAGAAGCAAGGATATAACATAGGTCTGGTCTGTGAGAATGGAAACTGCAAATATTCTAATGTAGGAGAGCTATATCTTGGTTGTTTTATGGGTGAAAGCATCGGTACGTGTTGGGGAATCTGGGGGGTGTTGTGACATGAGTGATTTCCGTGTGTATCCAGGAGGGAGTGGGGATAGAGGATAGAGGATAGAGGGGATGGAGGAAGGGAGAATGTGCGTATAGTTGGAGTTGAAGGGGGTGGGTTGTGTTGGGAAGGAGTAGGAGGAAGTGGTGTGGGGGGAATATTAGTGGTAGGAGGATGGATATCGGAAGGATGGATACTTGGAGTTGAAGGGGATGTGTTGTCTTGGGAGGGACTAGGAGGAAAGGGTGTAGGGGTGCTATGAGTAAGAGGGGGATGGGTATCAGGAGGATGGATATCGGTGGTGGACGGAATTGAGGGGGTTAGGTTGTATTGATAGGGAGGAGGAGGAAGGGGTGTAGGGGGAATATGAGTGGGAGGGGTATGGATATCGGCAATAACTTCAAGTGTGGAGGGAGCTTGAGTCATGGAATTTTGTGTCTCAAGCATATAGCTTTGAATGTCTTCCATAGTTTCTACAGTGGAGTTTGTTAGAGAGTTTTGTGGAACAAAGGTTTTCTTATGAGGGGGGAAAGAGACGACTGGTGTCTGAGGAGTAAAGGTAAAGGTAGGTGGAAGTGAGTGTGCGGTAGGGGAAGAAGGGGTGGAACGTTTCGTCTGTCTACTGCGGGTAGTGCGGGGAGGGAGAGGTGATGGTGTTGGGGCTGTAGTTGAGATTGGAGCTGTGCTTGAGATTGGGGTGTCTGGATTTAGAATGGCAAAAGAATTTGACTGGGGGAGGTTGAATGTAGAAGTGGAAGTGGGGAAGTAAGTAGGTATAGGGGAGGGTGTAGGAACATCTTGAGGTGGAGGGGGAGGGGCAGAGCGAGCGACATTACTGGAGTAGGGAGTATAAGAGAAACTTTGTCTTGCTTCCTGTCTGGCTTCACATAGAGTGAGACCATTTTTGTATCTGAGAGCTGCTACCTCAGACTCGAACTTGTAAAAGGGACAGCCTCTATAAAATACATTATGGGGGCCACCGCAGTTAGCACATGTGCGTGTTTGTGCCGGGCAGTTTGATCTGTTATGACCGGCTTAGGCACAAAGGGGGTATCAGTCTGTGGAGTGGCAGTGTTTGGCAGGATGTCAAAATCGCCAACAATTTTGACATTGATGGGGAGGAGGTTGGTATGGTTGAATAGGGAGGGACTGTCCACCAATTTAGATACGAATGGGAAGGTCATGTGTACTGAAAGTAATTTTGGCAATGTTGGTGGGTTTCTTATGATGACCTCTAGGAGGAATGGAGCAGCAATCTACTGATATCACGTCCTGGTCTTTGAGGCAGCCGAGCAAGTCTTCACAATCTGACCAATCTTTGGTATCGACTACGCAGTTTGCTGGGGAGATAGAGACAGTTCTGGTACAAGTATTAAGAGTTGGATGAGGTTCTACAGGGATGGGGTTGCCAGAGAGATCAGTTAGTTTTGATAATGCTATAGCTTCAGCTTCAGATCTGACTGTTATGAGACAGGAGCGATCGTATCGGGTACAGAAAGAGACTCTGCCTACATATTTTTGGAGACATTGTTGAAAGAGAAGAGTGTTGCCTGAGTAGGAGTAGCTGTAGGGGGGATCATGAAAAATCGGTCCCATTTAGCTAGGCTAAATAGAGTAGTTAAGATATTTGTAGGGTTGGTGGTGGTAGAAGGACGGGGGCGTGTGGAAGTGGGAGTGTTGTTGAGGGAGGTAGTATTATGGAGAGATGGAGAATAAGTCTGTAAGGTACTAATAAGGGAGGTTGGGGTGTTTGATGAAGAAGGTTGTAGGGGTAGAGTTGATGAATTTGAGGAAGTTGGGAGGGTAGGAATGTCTTCTGGAGATTGAGTCTCTGATTGGGTGGGTAATGCACTAGTAGGCATTCAGGAGTGGCTAGTAGTTTCAGTGTTTGGAGTCATAGTCAGAGGAGAGCCTGGGGTCAGGGAGCTAGTGGGGGTATTTGATGAAGGGGTAAGCCTCATTGCCCCTAATAGGGGTATTACATCTTCATTACTGGCCCTGGGAAGCCTTGATTATGTAAAGGGAAATAAACAGTCCACTCCCAGTGCCCTGTACGGGGGTAAGGGCTAGACAACTAAATCAGGGGAGTACCGTGCCCATAGTTCCCGCAGGCCATTTAGGACTGGCACAAGGTCAGCCTTTCATCCTTTCAGCACAGCACTTACACCTTAGGAAGTACATAGTAGAAGGGGTTGGAGAAGGGACGGAAACAAAAAGCTGGAGGGGGAAAAGACCATGTAAAATTAGTTGAGTCAAGGACTGAGGCCCTAGACAGGGGAGATCCCTGCAGTGGGTCTCAGTCTCTGTCTCCTAAGCCCCCCCACGACAACCACGGGCAAGGGATTAGGGGGGCCTTTTCTGGGAAGAGAGGGTCCTTTGTCCTCTCTGCTTCTGTCAGTTTGTTTTTTATCCTTTCTTCATTCAGGTACACATTATAACTTTGTAGTAAGTCCTACTGGATGGGAGCCACCATCCATAATTGGCAGTAATTTTTTGCACCTGCCTTCCCTTGTTTGATAATTATAGCTGCCTGAGGGATTCCCCTGATAATTGCTCTTTCCAGACATGCAACTGCAGTGGTGGCTAGCCTTTGGTGTCCTGTGAAATCCATGGGCCCAACTGGAACAAGCAACATTGAAGACATTCCATACCTTAACAATCCTGCAGGTCTACCTCTCCAGTACAAGTATTGGTGACATGCCACTGTTGTGATTAGACTATGCTAATGCAGCTTTCACATGGCAGCTAGTCATAGAAAGCTCCTACTTTTGATACCAAAAGCCATGTCAATATAGCCTTTAGCAGGTTTACTAGTCCCTTATTCTGGTAAACAGTCTCACTGCTACTTTCTGCCACAGCCAAAATATCTTAGATGGGTAGTCTCCATGCATCTCCATATGGCAGCAAGGACCAAATCTTATTGTCCCAATGTAGCCCTCTACAAGTTGACTAGAGGTGAGCTCTACTTATGGTAAACTAACCCATGGCTGCTCTATGATGCTTCCTACATCACCAAGCTAGCTAAACATGGCATTAGGTAGCAAGGCCCATGTTTACTATATGAATGACCCTCAAGTGCAGTGGGGAACCAACAGTCTATGTCAGCCAAGATCATCTTCCTCCTACTATCTGACTAGAGACCAAGTTACACACTATGCTCCCTTGCATTTGATGATGTTCCATTTTTTGCCTTCAAAGACGTTGACTTCACTTATCACAGGGTCACAGGCTCCATCCACTTCATCTCATATGTCTATACATGAATAGTTCTCCAAACATCAGGTATATTAAGGCACGCCATATTCTTTGAGGACTCATTTCTATTCGATTTTCACTGCAACATACAGCAAACCAGGTCATATACCTTGTTAACCCTTTGTTAGAGTGCAATTGCCATACATACAATCATACACCTAGCACTCATTGTGCCAAACCACCAAAGTGATGTGAATATTTTTTTTATATCACTTGTTTCCAAATTTGATTTTCTTATTTTTACATATTCAGAGATGGATGATATGCATTTTGGTTGCTAGTTTGAACCTATAGTAGCTGAATTAAGTACATTAGAATCCATTTCAATTAATAAGGTATGTTATACACTGAGTACAAGACAAGACTGTATGTGGTTTTACTGAAGGATAAAAAAAAATAAAAATCACTCATTTTCATAAATCTTATTTTTACAAAATAGGAGATTGTATGCAGTGATGTACAAGACTGCAACCACCACAGCTTCAGTACTTCATCTTAGGGTTCATACTTCAAGAGCCACACTGGCAGAGCATCAAAAGACAATACGAGTAGTTGACACAAGGAGACTGATCTCATAAACAGGAGTGAAGGTTACTTACAAGTTCACATAATACGCATACACACACGGACACATGCACAGACACACGCACACACACCCAAACACTGTGTATATAATATATGTACATGTATATGTATATATAGATATACATTCTTATAGATAAATATTTATATTAAGTATATTCACATGTATATCTATATCTATTTCTATACATGAGATAATCAGAAGGAATGGAGATATGGTATGATCACATTTTAGGATAAATACAATGAAAAGTTTGGTTGTTAATAAGTATGAGGTGATTATTCTGAATGGACTGTTAGACCACTTAAAACATGGAATATCCATATCCATTATCCATGCAAATCTACATAAAAATGTGAAAACTATTACCTTGGTACTGCCTTCTCCCTTCAGGTCAAATGAACACAGCTTTCTGACCTCTGGCTGAGTGGGTTCCCCCGGCGCACTGCCAAAAACCAGCAAGGCCTGCAAAGGCCAAGGAAAATGCTGAGTTTGGACAGCTTCCCCTTGTAAGCGTATACTTGAAATACACGTATTCTCTAGCTTTTCTTATAGAAATATGTGCCTGCGCTTGATTCTCTTCATTGGCAGATGAAGGAACCAGAGATACTGACACCTCTTAATGCAATCACTCAATCTGACAATTCAATCTTTTCATATCTTAATAATTAAAGGAAAAAATCAGTTTCATTTACATGCTTAATCACACTCAAAAAAGAAAAAAGAAAAAAAAAATCTATTAACTGATTAAAACTAACTCAAATAAAGGTGTAAATGACTAGTCTCCAAAAGTTTATTCTCTCAATGCCTAATGAAAAAGCATCTAAGTTGGGAGGGAAATATGTTATGAAGTCTTAAAATAAAACAACTTTTAAAGCTTTGAAACCTGATCAATATAATTAACATTAAGGGGACCGTCCCTGAGAGGGGGGGGGGGTTAAATTAAGATAGTTAGCGTATAGTATAGGTACATGGATGAGGAAACTACCAAACGAGTATTAACCGCCTCCTATGGCTCGTTGTCTTGCAGCCGGCGTGCGAGTCCCTCAGCACCCGGAGAGGTACGTCGCTATTGAGCGCACAGGTACACCTATGTGGACTTTTGCTTGCGGCAATCGTGCATAAGGCATTTAATTATGACATTGCGCATAGATATGAGTTCGTGAATGTTCAAGGAACACTTTTATACCAATATCAGGAAAAAATTATATCACCGTGATTTATGACGAAATATTTTGTGAAATATATCTAAAAAAAAATGTATGTTTTGTGTCCTTTTACACACGAAATATGCTTTGATCGAGACTCCCTGGTAATATGTTTTAGTTTACGTGGTAATATATACGTATATCACATACGAAGCACTAATGTTTAAAAATAGCCTTATAAGGAAGGATTGAAATATTTCCGTTACATTTCGCTCAACGGTCGGTACATCACAGCAGGGGGCAATTTGAATTGATTTGAAATTGGTAGTTACCGTTGTAAAGACCAATTCAATACGAATGTTACCTAAATGTCGGATTTTTAAACTTCGGATGTATAAGCGAGATACAGATTATTTCATGTTGAAGATGATAGTACTCAGTAATACCTGCTCTGAAATAAAAACTATATGGAATTTTGAGATCGGTTGTGTATGCATAGTCTTCGTCTGGCGTTCAAAAAGCTATCGCATCCGTTTCGTGCGTTCCCGATAAAAATGAATATGTTTAGACGTTACCGTAAGTCTTAGGCACCATAAATTGGCAAATATCCCACAACACATAGGCGTCTGCATGATTTTATGCACTTCTTAGTAAAGATAATGGGTGCAAATGGCTAATCATAAACTTTACACTTGTTCTCCCTTGCAATCTGTTAATATTGACAATTATCAAAATGGGTATGAGAGGGATAACTAATAAATTTTATTATTTAGATATGAAAGTCAATGTAGGCCTACTAAATGATGATGATTAATCTTTTTAACTTTATGTGCGTGCGTTCACGTACATATGATCCTCCTCGAAAATTATAAACACCCAGTGACCATCTCCCCCCCCCCCCTGTGAGGCATGGGGAATATTCAACGACTTTCGCAAGTTCTCGAATTCAATGTACTAAATTCATATGCTTTTGAAATTCTCAAAATTGAACCACCATGTTGTATTCATGCCAGGACTTTATAATTAGAATGATTTTGTACTAATGTTGCCATCCACAGTTCCCCGTTTCTTCAAAAAAAAAAAATAAAAAATAAAATGGAAAATAAAAAAAAATATTTTTTTTAAAAAAAGGTTTTATCTGGTTTAGATTAGTTGTCTCTATGGTAAAATGCATTTATTAAGCTTTTCACACGAAAATATCAACTTTAATGAACAACGAAAAAAAAAAAAAAAAAAAAAGTGACATACCTTTACAGAATAGCGTCCCTATTGAACATGAAAATTCCTATTGACTTGGTAATCATTGCATTGCAAAGTACACTAAATAAGCATTTTTTTGATATATAATATCATTAGATTCAGAGAAAAATAACAGAGATAACGAACTTTGGCAAGGTGCCAAATACAAAACGCCGTAGCTCGGCCATTTTTTTATGAATCTTCGTTACTTCCCAACTCACGTAATTTTCATGCGATCCAAATGCAGTTTGTTGCTTTCACTAGAGCCTCGGCGTCCCATAGCCATGTAAAAGGCCGATTTTTGAATTTTTGCCTTAATCAAAAAATAATAATATTTTAATGCTGAAAAACGCATTCAAAAATAGTTCTCTATGTCAAGCTGTCCCCCGCCAAAAAAAAAAAGGAAATTCAAAATTCGGCCTTTTACATGGCTATAGGCTAGAGTTGATCTAACACTAGCATTTTTGGGGGAATATTCTGTAAAGAGCTCTGATAGTTGGGAAGTACCGAAGACATACCAAAAAAAAAACAGCAATTTTTTTCAACTTTTTGGGGGGTGCCCCCCCCCCCCCAATGGGGGAGCAAAGTTAAAATTTATATATATAACGAAGCGCAATTCTTTGCTCTATAGCATGCAAAAAGAATCAATCAGTTATCTCTAACCGATATTTTTTTATGATGTATAGAGTAGGGAAAGGTGGCCATTCTCAGGGACGGTCCCCTTAAGGTAAAGAGTCGTCGGTATGGGTCACAAAATAATTTTTTTGTTCAAATTTTCTGTGTGGATACGTGAGCCTGTGACGCACCCCAGGCGCTCGGTTGCCAGATGCATAATGCGCTCCTTCCCACAATTTAAAGGTCTTGTGTATTTAAATTGTGCTGCCACACCCCTTTTTGCTTTATACTTTGTTTTTCTTGTATTTTCAGCCTTTTTTCTGCTGTTTTTGCAAATCAATTTGGTGTGATACTGCTGTATGATAGTTTAGGCTGTGTTCAGCAGGCAGGCAGCAGCAGCAAGGACGGGAGAACAGTGCAATCGATAAAGTTATGGGGAGTACACGTGTTGTTTTAAACCTGTTGAAAACCTGGCAATATGTCATTTATATATCAGAAATGCATAATATATGCTTTATCATGTACTCTGATATGTAAATGGACCATGGCCTGGACATCTGGAAGTATACTTTTCAGAGAACACTCCCACCTAACCTAACCTAACCTTAACATAAAGACGACCTAAAATTAAATGAACAAGGCTATTTTCTCTAAATCATATTTTCATGCATGAAAGTAAGTATAACTTTCTATGTAATTATGTGATTTTAAAAATTCTTGTTGCAAAATGATCGTCCAGTTCGTATCTACTAACTGTAGCTAAGTCATGCATTATTTCCACCAAATACATTTTTTACTGAAAAATTAATGGTGATTTTCTGACGAAAAAAAGTCACTTTTTTGCAAGGTAACTGAAACATTGTCGTTTCAGATAGATTTACATAAATGCTACAGTTGGTACTCCTATTTGTTATCTAACTCTGGTCAGAAGGAAGCTGCAGTACTATTCACTATAAGGAAGCCGTTACATAATTTTCGAATTCTATCATCTCGCTCGTTTTTTTTTTCTAGCGCAAAAAATTATGCAGCTTTTTAAAATCAAATTTCTTGTACTCAAGCATCACATATCTATGCACAATGTGTAAAAACGTTTTTGACCTAGCTAAAAAACTAAAGCAATGAGGACCGGATAACGAATTTCGTGACCGTACCGACGACTCTTTCCCTTAAGAAATAATGACAAAAGTTAAAACAGTAAAATTGTGATCATAATCACCATCACAATGATCAACTTAATGATGTTATCAATTTCATACTAACCATCATAATCTTAATAACAACCATCATTATCAACCTTTTCATGACAATATTCAGCTTAGACTTATCATCCTAAACCAAACTTCAATCAACACCAAGTACAAAGCTGAAGAGGCTTAAGCTCTCTCCTAACCTGTGTGAGGATGATGTACACAAGGGAACCGCTCACAATGATGGCCATGACAATGCGCTGCCTTCTGTTCATCCCCATGAATGAGGCTGCCACCCACAACCCAAGCTCCTGCAACCAAGAACACTGTCAATTTTCCATTTGCTAGAACTGTGGCTACGGGCATTGTCTAGGGCATTTCAGGTGGCCCAAGGCTACTTCACATGTACTGTAAAAGTAGATATTTTTAAAAATAAGTTATAAAACCATGATTTAGAAAGGAAATCCAAACACTTTTCCAAAAGCAGGCACAATATAATGACAATGCCAGTTTTAGAAAACAAACAATTATTCAGAATAAGCACTTTATATCATGATTATACCAACAAAAGTCAAGGACAAACACATATATCTATTTTTTCTAAGATTCAAAACCTATACTGAAGTTGGAAAATAAAATATATATAACCATAACAATATTTCAATATTTTTATATTCAAAATTGTGGCACAATCATTACAAGGGACTAGTTCTCAAACCTCCAATGTTTTCTAAACATTCTTATTTTTGGTAAAATAGTCAAGAAAAAAATCCCCTTTATTTACTTTATGTACAATTTCTCAGTGTTACAGCGTATATTATACAGCAATTACAAGTGTTTTCAACAGCATTTAGTTCTACATGCTACACTTTCAGCTTTCATAGTCACTTCAAGAAATACATGAAGTGAGCTGTAGACATACTAGTTCAATAGACAATAAATTCTAAAATAAGTAATGTTGCAATGCATGTGGGAAGAAATACAGGCTCTTCCTATTACACTTCCCACTATACCATAAAAAAATACAGCATGGATATCTACAGAGAGAACATATTTACATTATGCTACAGGTTCTAATTTGGCAAGTGCATTAATGGCAAGCTGTGTTGTCACTAATCTTTTCATTTCATGATGAAAAGCTATTGTACAATGAGCTGAATCCCTTCCAATTTAATCATGTTTTGTAATATGCTATCTTGCTTTATCCAACTTTATTCAAAACCTGATTCCCTTTTCAACAATCTCTCTATAAACATGAGCATATTCCTAAAGATTCATACTGATGGTGACATATATTAGGATGATAATACTTGCATGTCAAGACTGAACTCAAACAAGAACTTAAAGATTATTAGACTGTATAACCAAATGACTACATATTCACCTTTTCTTCCAAAGAGGCAAAATAGAAATTCACTGGGAGATGAGATGTCAGTTCCAAAATGCTCCTGGATTTTATCCAGAGGAAGACATAGGGTAATAAGTGATAGTAATAGACTGTTACAAAGTTTTCAGAGTAATAGTAATAATAATAATTTTAAAAATCATGGTTGTAACACAATAGCAATGGTAACAGAACAAAAATGAAGATCAATTACCTTTTACTATATAAAATAACCTCACTTTAGACCTTAGCCATCTTTTGGCAGCCACATATGATGCCATTAAACCACAGCCTCCTAACAAGAATGATAATGGTAACTATTTTCAATTCAAAAAACTATTCTTATTGCAAATAATATACTGACATTGGTGATAGTAATTCCTGACCAAGTAACAGTAATAATAATATATACGGACCAACAGAACGTAACTATCAATGATAGTAACAGACCCCTTGTCTGTCCAGGAGATGAACATGAAGGTGAAATCCAGGAGGAATTTGAACTGCTATCTCATCCTTAAATAAACTTTTGTACAAAAGAGTTTTTCTTTCATTCTCTCTTCTGTTTGGCTATAGGCTAACTACATGAACTTTTTTAAAATCATCATTTCTACAGGTTCTCATATTACAATTACATGAATTGCCACTATAATCAAAGTATTAGTCTTTTTGACAGCAGATATATTGTGATATGCAAAAAAGAAATAAATAAAGGATGGATTCCTTTACTTTCCAAAAACCACATCTTGGAGACATGAGTAAGACCATATCCAGAAGGAGAAATAAGCATAAACTATGTGAGTGCAGTTCCATTCATGTATATAAATAAATAAATAAGTAAAAAAAAAGAAACAAAAACAAAAGAAATACAAGCATTCCATTGTAACCCTGTATGCTTTTTCTTCTATCAGCAACAGTCACAATTATGTTTAAATTATGCAATTCACAATCCATTTTGTCTTATAACTACATGCAAAAAATTAGGGCATCAATTTAACCCATAAGATATTGTTCTGGTAGACTGTAAAGAATTTACACCAAACTAAAGGGAAAAGGTAAAGTAAAATATACAGCACAGGCCTTCTCTTACACAATATCAAGACACCATCACAGAGTGTATAATATTTCCACCATCTGCTGTCCTCTTGTGATGGTTTTCAAATACATCTAAGAGGTCTTCATCAATAACCAATCTTAAAATTTCTAAACCTTTTGATATTACATAAATTCCAAGATATAAATTCAGCACACTGATGCAAGGGTTCCCCAAGTGACAGAATGCTGAGCTTGTGATACAAAAGAAAAGAGAGAGGAAAAATGGAACCAGATATTTGCCCAAATAAAACACAACCCAAATCATTGGTGCATCTTCAAACCAAAAGGCATAGAAAATGTTCCTTTAGACCAGTAAAGCATGCATGAGCAAGTGATGATTTTTTCACTGTATTACAATGCTGAACAATCCCAATGGAACATTTTCTAGACACATCTGAAACACTGCAAAAAGAATAATACTTTATCTGAATCCATTTTTGGTTTTGCTACACCACTGGGAGCTTCAGGATAATATATGGAGCCCAAAAAGCTGAAAAGCAAAGAGAAATGTTAGGCATGCAAACAGTTTACCAAAATCTGAAACCTATATTCTAAAGCAAACAAGTAACTAAGCTACTGCAATA